AGTATGTCATTTTGCCTAGATCAGTCATTTCAAATTCATTCATTAGAACCTTCTTGAACTTGGTTATCTCCTGTTCAGAACTTCCAGTCAGCAGTATATCATCAACATATAAACATACCAGAGTCATATTGCCTTCAGAAGTATGCTGAACATAGACATCGTACTCCATCTCACATTTCTGAAAGCCTTGCTTCTTAAAAAATGAATCAATCTTCTGATTCCAAGCTCTGGGCGCTTGTTTCAATCCATATAGAGCTTTGTATAATCTGTACACCATCCCTTCCTGATTCTTTTTCACAAATCCAGGAGGTTGTGACACGTAAACTTATTCTTCTAATGGACCGTTCAGAAATGCATATTTTACATCTAAATGCATCAGAGGCCAATTCCTGTTAGCAGCTATTGCAATCACCATTCTGATTGTTTCATGTCTTGCTACAGGTGCAAACACTTCAGAGTAATCCAGCCCAGGTTTTTGTAGAAATCCTCTGGCTACCAACCTTGCTTTATGTTTGCCAATTGAGCCATCTGGCTTTAACTTCTGCTTGAAAACCCATCTGACGCTGATGGCTTTCTTGTCTTTTGGAAGTTCTGTCAGCTTCCAAGTCTTGTTTCTCTCTATAGCATCAAGTTCTTCTTTCATGGCCTTCAGCCAGAGCTTCTGCTTAAGAGCCTCCTCTGTACTTATAGGTTCAGAGTCTACTAACATGGCACACTGAATAACTTCTCCTTCAGAGTCTACTTCAGTGTCTTGCAGCATGTCAAATTCTGCAAATCTTCTGGGAACGCTTCTGATTCTTTGTGGTCTCTGAACTTGTTCAGAGTCTTGAGCTTCAGAGTTTCCAGCTTCAGATGGTTGACTTCCTCTAGAGCTTTGACCATCTTCAAGATCTGGCATATTTTCAGAGTCTTGGCCATCTCCAGAGTCTGAATTTCCACCAGAATCTGGATTACCATCAGAGTCTGGATCATCAGAGTCACCTTCATCTTCTGAGTCTTCTCCAGAGTCAGAATCACTATCAGAGTCAGAATCAATGTCAGAGTTTACTTCAACTTCAGAAATTCTTAACTCTGACCTTTCTTCAGAAGTTCTAACATCAGAATCAGATTGAGACTTATCCCAATTCCAAACTTCTGATTCCTTCACAATCACATCTCTACTGAATTTAATTTTATTGGTTTCTGGACGATAGAGCTTGTATGCACCTGTACTGTGGTACCCTATCAGAATCATCACTTTGCTTCTATCATCCAGCTTCTGTCTTCTGGCTTCTGGAATATGTTTATAGCAAACAGAACCAAACACCTTCAGATGACTAACACTTTGCTTGTTTCCAGTCCACTTCTGCATAAGAACTATTTCCTTCAACTTCTTCGTAGGACATCTGTTGAGTACATACGTTGCAGTGGCAACAACTTCTCCCCAGAGCTTCTGAGGAAGCTTCTTCTCCTTTAGCATGCTTCTCACCATATCAAGCAAAGTACGGTTTCTTCTTTCAGCAAGACCATTGTGTTGAGGGGTATAAGAAGCAGTAACCTCATGCTCAATTCCATTCTCTTCACAGAACTTCTGGAACTCTTTGGAGTTATACTCACCTCCACCGTTAGTTCTAAGAATCTTCAACTTCTGACCACTCTGATTCTCAGCCTTCATTCTGAATTTCTTGAATTCATCAAACACCTCGTGTTTAAACTTAATAAGGGATACCCATGTCATTCTTGTGAATTCATCAACAAATAGCACAAAGTATTTATTCCCTCCAATTGATGCTACTGGAAATGGACTACACACATCAGAATGTACAACTCCCAAGGCATGTTTTGCTCTTGGAGCAACTTCTGACGCAAATGGCAAACGTGGTTGTTTTCCTTCCATGCAAACTTTGCATGACTTCTCAGGCTTCTTAATTACAGGAATTCCATGTACCAACTTCTTTGAATTCAGATGTTTTAAGCTTCTAAAATTCAAATGACCAAATCTTCTGTGCCACAGCTCACTCTCCTTCTCAGCACATGTTGCACTAAGACATTCTGAGTCAGCAGTTCTGACATTCACCTTGAATGTTCTATTCCTTCCCTGTTCTGACTCCATAATCAACTTCTGATTGTAGTCATACAGCTTCAGAAGATTGTCCTTCATGGTAACTGAAAAACCTTTCTCAATTAATTGTCCCACACTCATCAGATTGCTTCTGATGCCAACTACATACCACACGTTCTGAACCAATGCTGTTTTCCCATTGTTCAGAGTCACTCTGACATTTCCCATACCTTCTGCATTAAGATATTTGTCATCAGCACATCTGATCTTTGTCCTCTTTTCAGAGTCAAAGTCAACCAGCCATTTCTTGTTTCCAGTAAGATGATTTGAACAACCAGTGTCCATATACCACCAGTCTGTCAGATCCATATCATCAGATTCAGAGGCCATCAATAGCACAGATTCGTCATCAGAACTTCTGGCTATATTTGCTTCTTCTGATTTCTTCTCCTTGTTTGACCAACAATCTCTAGCAAAGTGACCAAACTTCTTACAACAATAACATTGGATCTTCTTCTTGTCATACTTCTATTTTCCCTTCTGAGCATTCTTTTGTCTATCAGAGATTGAGCTTTCTGACTTCTGACCACCATCAGATCTTCTCTTGGCTTCTGACTGCTTCTGATACCTCCTATCAGAAGTTGCTTTCAGAGCCTGCTGCTCTACTTCCCTTTCAGAAGTTCTCTCAGTCAAACGCAACTCTTGCGCTTCTAAACTGCTCTGCAGCTCTTCAATTCTCATGGTACTCAGATCTTTGGAATGTTCTATTGCTACCACAATGTAATCAAATTGAGAGGTAAGGGATCTCAATACCTTCTCCATGATTGTTTCTTCAGAAAAAGTTTCTCCACACACCTTCATCTCATTAGTGATCAGAATCACTCTGGAGATGTATTCAGAAACTTTCTCATTATTCTTCATGTTGAGATTCTCATATTGCTTTCTCAAGGACTGAAGCTTCACCTTCTTCACTGATGCGTCACCACCATAACATCTAACCAGTGTGTCCCGCGCAACCTTTGCTGTCGTTGAATCTGCAATCTTCTCAAACACATTTACATCAACACATTGATGAATAAAGAATAATGCTTTTTGATTCTTCTTCCTTACTTCCTTCTGCGCGTTTTTCTGTTCATCCGTTGCATCTGCTGCTACCGGAACATAACCATCAGTGACAAGATCTAAAACATCTTGAGCACCAAACAGTACACGCATTTGGATCATCCAACGATTCCAGTTTTTATCGTCAAATACTGGAAGCTTGGTGTTCATGTTGCCGTTTCCGTTCATCTTCACCTTGCACAATACACTCAGATTTCTCACACAGTGTTTCCCAACCCACAGAATTAAAATTCTGATCAGATTTTGTTCAAGATTCAACACGAATCTAAGAATCAAAATCAAACACACAAGACCTCACGTTCACTCGTGTTTCCCGTGTTTCCCAATGAATCCGAACCGGAGCTCTAGATACCAATTGTTGGTGCAAAGGTGAATAAATGATGAACAAAGGAAATATTCTATTAAGAATGACGACTACAAAACATGATAATAGTTACAATGATTGTCACCCTATTTATAAGCTAAAACTAGGGTTACTAGAATAAGATAAAATACTAAAATACCCTCTAACAAACTTAGGGGCTAAGAAAATAGTATAACTAAATAAATATGAATTACTATTAATATTCTAATAAGTTGCACCGAACTCGGTTAATAATTCTGATGTTAATTTTAATTTTTTGTTGTTTAAATTCCTATATTTTTTTTGTTTGTTTGATCAAGTTGTTTTTGATCCTAGTGTTGTAACATATGTTTCAACACCTGTAGTTGCTTATCAGAATTTCATTTCTAATAATTTCGCGTTATAAATAGTCACTGAGATTGTGATTGTTTGATATCACTAAGGTGATTAGGGAATAAGAGGGGCTATTATATCTAAGAGTTCCTAGGTAGAAGTTGCACAGAGTAGGAATTAAGTGAGAATTTGTAAACTGAGATTATTTCGCTTTGAATTAATACTATTAATAATGGATTTTCTTCCTGGCTTGGTAGCCCACAAATGTTGGTGAGTTGCACCGAACTCGATCAACAATTCTAATGTTAATTTTAGTTTTTTGTTGTTTAAATTCCTATATTTTTTTTGTTTGTTTGGTCAAGCTGTTTTTTATCCTAGTGTTGCAACATATATTTCACCATCTGTAGTTGCTTATCAGAATTTCATTTCTAATATTTTATATTCATTTCTAATATTTTATATTCATTATTAGTACATTTTTTTATACTAATATTTCAAGTAATACGATTACTAAGAAATCCCATAACCAAAATACCAATATGTAATTATTGAATCATTTAAAAAGATTTAAGTACAATTATTTAGATAAACCAAATTAGAATTATTTAACATTTTCAAAAAGTTATTAGAGTTTTAAAAATGATAAAATTTTATAAAAGAAACATCTTTCAAACATTAAAACTAGATTTGCCCTTCTCCTTCCGATTTGGGCTATAGCTGTAGGGATCAGATTAATTAAAGGAAAATGCCCAATTCTCGTAACTAGGCTTGGGGCGAACACCCCACTCGCATTTTTATTGCGAGACTCAACCACTCATCATTTTTCATTTCTGGTAGAAGATTCATGCAATCAATCTTCTATTCTTATGGCACCTAATTGTTCCTATTCACCCTATCAAACCATGTGGGACTGTGACATAATATAACGTGCATTTCACCATTTCATGCATTAGCTTTTCGGACAACTGAATTTTGAAACATAATATAATTGCATAAAGTTGTCAAACACAACCATTATTCAAAAACACAAAATATGATATACATGCAATTTAACAAATATCTCTAATTCTTTATCATGTGATGCCACGCCCAGTGCCCACTATTTTGATCTACCTAGCCTTCTGCTTTATTAATACCAAGAACATGCAAAATAGCATCCATTCATGGAAATCCAGTTCCAACTCCTCCACCAGCTCCACCACCAAATCCTCCACCGGATCCTGCACCACCAAGTCCACCACCACTGCCACCACCGCCTCCAAATCCTCCTCCACTACCTCCTCCGAATGCATTACCACCACCAGCACCACCTCCAAATCCGGATCCTCCTCCAAACCCTGATCCTCCACCTACACCACCTCCTCCACCGAATCCACCGCCACCACCACCACCAATACCTCCTCCGCCTCCAAGTCCACCACCAGAACCACCACCAGCACCGAAACCGCTTCCTGAACCACCACCTATCCCTCCTCCACTACCGCCACCACCACCAAAACCACCTCCACCTCCAAGTCCACCACCAGAACCACCACCAGCACCAAACCCGCCTCCTGAACCACCACCTAGCCCTCCTCCACTACCACCACCACCACCAAAACCACCACCTCCTCCTGCACCAGCACCTCCACCGAACCCTGGATGATAGAAATTCTTCTCATCCCTTAAACTTTTAACACTCCCAAGCTTCCTTGCATCAATGCTACTACAAACAAGAGCACCAAGAAGCACAAAAAGAAAAACCCTAGAACATGAAGCCATCTTGTGCTATAACTATAAGTTAAGAAAAACTCGAAGTTATTTGGTGTGGAGAAAGAGAAGCGGAGCTAGGGCTTATATAACAAATCCCAAAGGCAAGGTTAAGAACTTTAGAATTAGTATGAGAACGCTTTAAATTAAGAACAACTTCTTAACCATCCAATGACGCGTTGTATACATAAATGTTTCAACTGTCTCGTTTGAAAAAAAAAATATTTAGTTGCTAATTCCTTATGTCTCGTAAGGTCCCAACCTTTACTTATCCACTAGTCATATCTCATTATAGTAATGGTTGACTAAATTTTTAAGTTATTTTAAAACTTCAAAGTCTATTTGTTGAATTTTAGATGATTTTGAATGACTGAATTTATATTTTGATATAAGTGTAATATTAAAAAAAAAGTTTAAACAAATAATATAATACTATATGAAAATATAGTATATTATTTTTCTTATAATTTCAAATATATATCAAAAACATAAGAGTATTTTGTAAAATCTTATCCACAAAACTTTCTAATATAATAGAAATACTTTATTTTTCCGTGGATTTATCTAAAAGTTTTAATTAAATTTTTGCAATTTTTGATTTCAGATAAAACCTTGAATAATATTTTTGGCAAAAAATTCACAGATAAATCCGTAGAATACAGCTGCATGTAAATTCATAGAAAATATTTGTAGATAAACTCGTAACAAATTTTGAATACACATATGCTTTTTTATCTTAATTAAATTATTTTTTAGTTTTAATAAATTTTAAAATATTTAAAATTAAATTTATACTATGGTTATTTTAATAATAAATTTATTTTAAAATGTTTCAAATTTTAATAAGACAAATTCAAATTCATATAACTAAAAACTAATATAAAATTAGTAACAAATACTTAACTAATATAAAATTAATAACAAATACTTATACAGTCACGTTACTAAAAATGATTCTAATAACCAAACTACTAATAATTATTTGTTCAACAAATTTAAAAATATAAAACAATCCAAATTACAACCGAGTGAACAAGAAAAAGTATAAATCAAATTTGGTCTTTATCTTATTCATCAGCACGATCTGCATTTATGTGATCAGTCTCATTATGGGGCTGTGGTGGATGAGAAATTTTTGAACAATTTTCAATTTCATTTGCCTCTGATTTTTTTTAACTTGAACTAATTAAAGATGAACCACACGAATTTTCATGTGAAGAACTAGAATGCTCCAATTGACTTAATTTGGAGGATTTGCTTGAAGAAGATTTATGTTTTTTCCTTAACAGTTTAAGCTTTCTCTCAGATTTATCTCTTAACTTGTTATTTTCTTTAACCAATTTCTCCAACTCAACTAACTGCAAACAAAAGTGGTTTTCATTTTTAATTAAAAATAAAAACACAAGCACAAAGATAGAATAAAGTTTTGTCAAAAAAAAAAAAAGCATGTTGATGATTTAAGCAATGTCACAGAAAAGTAATATTACCTTTTTGCTCATTGATTCAGATTGTCCTTAGCTACTTTTGAAGCATGTCTTTCTACTAATAACCTCCCTCTTAGAAACGCAATAGTGCTCAAATTCAAACCTTATGTACTTCCATTTTCTTAGTACTGAAAATCAATAATTGAACATTAATGTGATTCAATTTTCATAGTTCAATGAAAGAGAGAGAAACACACCTGCAATTGTGGTCTATTTTAGTGTTAGCATCTATGACTTGATTTTGATTATGATCTGAAGTTTTAATTTCTCACAAAAAGTATCCATTTTATGCAATTCAAAATCAAATCAGAATAAAAAGAGTGATAGTTATGCTTTCTTTGTTGTTCAATGTCTCTTATCTATAAATAATTAAGTATCCATGTCCTAGTACGATTCCTTTCCTAGAATTCTTCTTCTTGGAACATGTCATAAAAAAATTTTGCATGTCATAAAAAAATTTTGCTTCCATGTTTGGAGGTTCCTCTTCATGTTGTACAAAATGTAGCTTGCAATTAAAATTGACACCATCGAACACCATGTCTTGGTATCTATGAATGTGTTCATAATTCTAATGTTAGACTACTAGTTTCAGACGCAACCATCTATATCATCATTGTCGCTATCATTGATGTGAGGGATTATCACTTCATGGCATGTCTAAATTTGAGTGTTTACTTCATCTGGGGAGAGGTGATCCGTATTTTGGCACATCTTACATAGATATCTTATTACACCATCCTTCAAATAATCTTTTTTTTACTAGTTTAAAAACTCTTTAACATCTTTTGAAAATTCATATGTATGTCTGTTTCGGTCAGGGATAAGCCTATTATACATCCATGTCCGATGCAGAGAAATTTTCATTTCCGTTTCAGCAGATTTTTCGGTATTCTATATATAAAAAATTTAAGGCATTATAATTTTTGAGGCAAAAATGAAATGCATAGCAAAGATGTTTTAGAAAAATAATTCCTATTGCAGCCATGTTGTATTTGTAAAAATTTGAAGGAAATCAAAATTTATGTGGACTTATGATTGCTAGTGACAAGTGAGAAGAGAATAGATGATGACATTTACTATGGACTAACCTCATTAAAATTGGGAATTTTCTCGCTTGTCAAACCAGAAGATTCAATCTCTTCAAAACCATCTTCTGACCTTGAAACATTTGTTGCATCATCAAAAAAGGAACATTAATAGAAGTCAGACTATGGTATACATATCATGTTAGTAGACATCGTCACATGCAAATTTTAATCGCTCTACATAGTTATTTAACAATTTCAGTTTTCAAAAATAATAGTAATGAAAATGTTAGTTTAAGCACAAATTTGAATGTGAATCAGAACACATCATGAATGCATTAGCATATCAGTTACTATTTTGATAGAATCTTATATTGACATAAACCAACAAAGTCCTGATAAGAAATAACAAAATTTTGAAGGAGAGATTTTTCTCCTATTATTTCTCTTTCTCCATATAATATGATAAAGTATAATATGATCTATAATGTAATGTTGGTTGTACTTCACGCGCATGAGTTAGTACATATTTCACTACAATGCACATACAATATGACATCAACATAGTTGCAAGAACTCATCAGATTATTTAAGTTTACAATTTTCTGTGAAGACAAATTTATTTTTATTACTTCGATAACAACACTATTACACTTGCTAGTAAATTATCCATCAAGTGATGATATTTTCTGACTGACTATATTGTGCTTATTACTTACTGGTGTTACTGGTACTAACTGATGTTTATGAATCTATGCGCACACATGCTGAAGTATTTGGCGTGAAATCTAAACCTCAACTCTGTGTGACTAAGTGTGTTGATTTCTTTGTGTGTTAGCAGTTGGTTCTGAATCTTGACTACTGACTACTAACTGCGTATGTGTGCATGACTACCTAATCATAAATCATTGTATGAATGACTTTTATAGAGCATTGATTATGTGTAGCAACCACTTGACTTCTAACTTGTGCAACTAACTTTTGTTGATGTTGTGTGTTTGTTCTGATGTGTGTTGTTGTTGACGTTTCGGCGGCTGCTATTGTTTTTTATGTGTGTGGTGTGCTTAATTCTCAACTTATGGTGCACATCTTGTATGTTTCGGAAGAATGTTGTTTTGCTAAAAATTTTTAAGGGGAGATTGTTGTTCCTTTTAGGATTAGCTATATTATAAAAAATAACATGGTATTGGCACATGTTGGACATTATGTTCTAACCGGTGTGACACATCTGACCTAAGCTGCTTTTGTGAAGAAAGACACACATGGGAACAAATGTCCTAGCATGTGGCCCTTGTCTGGAGGACAAGACTGTTGTTTTATGCACATGTTTTTCAAATGTCTACAACGCGGTTTTTCGGTTACTTATGCAAAGTTGCTGTTATTTGATCAGTGTATTTTAATACACTATATTTTACTTTGTGATAATATTTTTATTTGACTTCTCACATGATTTTAATTACTTTTTATAGGTTTTTGGAAGTTAAGTTAATATCTACTTATTTTCTGAATAAGTGTTTATTTTTGGATTAAAGTTAATTGACAGCTTCTCGCTGTGCATGTCGTAAATTGAGTCGCGAGATGCCGTTTGACGCGTTTTAATATGCGTTAGAAATATGATAGGATAATATAAAAGTTTCATTTTGAAATCAAAAGCAGGTTCGGAGTGCAGAAGACTCGAATAATTCTTTTTAGTTCCAAACTTAAATAAAACAATTAGTTTTTGGGTCGAATTTGTCTAATTTGGGTCGGATTCTCTTTTAGCCTGATTTACTAAACTATTCAAACTAAAATGCAGCACTATTTCTAGGTTAGACAACTTTACACGAAATTATGACATTGAGCCGTTAGGATTCCATGGAGAACTAATCACTACGCCAGAAATGACTTTTAGCAGCGCAACAAAAGACAGCGCTTTCTAAAAAAGCGCTGCTAAAGGGTCATGAAAAAAAAAACAAAAAAATAGCATACCTAAGACAGCGTTTGTTAAAAAAGCGCTGCTAAAGGGAGGGTCAAAGAAAGTGCTTTAAAAAAGCGCTGCTAAAGGGGGGGGTCTACGAAAGCGCTTTTAAAAAAGCGCTGCTAAAGGGGGTCATAAGGCAGACCTATAGCAGCGCTTTTAAAAGCGCTGCTAAATGCCAAAAAAAGCGCTGCTAAAGGGGGTCCTAAGGCATACCTATAGCAGCGCTTCTAAAAGCGCTGCTAAATGCCAAAAAAAGCGCTGCTAAAGGGGGTCCTAAGGCAGACCTATAGCAGCGCTTTTAAAAGCGCTGCTAAATGTCAAAAAAAGCGCTGCTATAGGTTTAAGTAGCATAAATTTAAAAAATTCCAATATTTTCACAGAATCAGAACAGTCTTCTTCTTTCTTATTTCCACTCGTGAACGTTGCCCTATTTAGAATTAGAACAGTCACCGTCGACGCATTCCGTCCGCGCCTCCGTCCGACAGCCTCCGTCCGTCGTCTTTCCTCCGGTCATTCCGTCGTCACCTCATTCTGCCGCCATCC